TAAAAGCGTAACGCGTGCGAGTTATATCGCACGCTCGACGAGTGAAGGCGGCGAAAGTTGTTCAAGTCTATGAATGAAGACACGTTTTCTTACAATTATAAAACCTGAGATTCTGCTCTTATGGCACGCGTCGGCCTTCCTTTGTTTTGTATCGATTAACGATACCTACAAGTGCCTATTTTGCGCGGGCAAAAAGCAAGCATTAATTAATCGACCAATATTGCGTAACATTTCGGTCACAAGTTGCGCTGTACATAATCGTATATACATAGAGATGTACACATGTATACACATTGCAATTTTGACACGTTGACCGATTTTCCGTTATCAACGGGTTGTGCGCGAGTCTCCGTTAAATACTGCGTAGTAAATCAATAAATTTCACAAAGCAACATCTGCGAAGCGTAATATAGAGTATGACAAAGTGCTTTGGTTCTCTTTTCGCGACGTGGATATTACCTGGAATTTTAATTTCCTAGCTCAATTATTTCTTTGTATCTTTCCGGAACTCGAAACCAGAACGGAATAAATATTATAACACAAGAGGTAAAATAATATCCATAAAGTGTAATATAGAGCACGACAAATTACCTCTTTACGATGTAGACATTTTTGAATTTTAATTTTACTCCAGTTCCTGCGTATTTCATTTTGTTCTTTCTGTATCTCTTTCCGGACCAGCAAACGAAATATTGTAATATGAGAAATAAGGAAAAATTAAAAAAAAAATTATTAATCCTTAAATATAAAAATTATTTTAGAAAAGTTATTTTCATAATCTTTTAAAACATTTAAACAAATATATTAATTGTCAATTATTATAATTTTAATGTCTATGTATGTATTCATATAAAATGTAAATGTGCTTGTTTATGCGGAATAATAATACCGTATATACTCATATTATAATACGCGCTATTGTACATTTATTATATATAATACTTATAAGTTTGTCAACTATGTAATTCCTAATTATAACATCAGCACAACAAATTGTTCAACAAAAGGAACATTGAGAAGACATTCACATTACGTGTAAAATTAATATCGATAATTATTGCAATCTCTGGACATTATCAAAAACACGTAAGTAAACAATAATACACTAATTATATACAATCACATACGTCGTGTTATGACGCGTTTATTAATGTACTTTCTCTCTCTCTCCTTCCCTCCCTTTCTCTCTCTAGTTCGATATAAAAATGCTAAACGCATATCCCAAGACGAGAGAGCGCTCGCACGCGAACGCCTGTTTCGGCGAGACGTTCATCCGGAACCAGTTTGGCGGGTTTTTCGTTGCTTCCATTGTGACCGGCGCGGCACCAGAAGTTCGTGAAAAACCGTGACGAAGGTTGATAGAGGAAAAAAAAATGAAAAGGGAAGGAGAAACCTCCCTCTCTGCCGCCGGCATGTCCGGTGGATGTCTACCGGGATAAATTGCGGACAAGCCTGAACTCCTTTTCTTCGACCACATTGTATATCGCCGGAACTTGGCGTGCATATGTGGGCCGTTTGTATATATACGTATATGCGTGGAATTACGAGGGGCTCACGTGCAAGCTTCCGTAACACATAAAATTAACATCGCGCTGACGCGCGATCGGACCCACGAATCGAGTTAATTTTCTAAGAAGTTCTTTCGTCGAGCGACAATTAATTTGGGAGGCCTTTCAAGTGTAAATAATACCGGGCCGTCGATTCGGCTGATAAGTAAATATCTCGTTCGAGGATATCCCTTCTCTCGTCGAGAATCGTTATTCTAATTTGATTATTTGTTTTTCCATTTCGTCGTGAATCATCCTCGAGTCCTCGTGGAGCGAAGCGAGACGAAGCCCGACGAGCGTAGCTACATTTAAATAACGATTACCCATTCGCGACGACTGCAAATTGAATGCAATTAAATGTCTCGAAACCGGATACGGATAACGCTCTTTATATCGCTATGCCGAATTTATAATACTATCGTCGCGCTTACTTTATTCTCTTCAGCTTCCGGCGCTTTCGGAGACAGGCGCACGTTTCTCTCGCTGAATAATGTAAGATGAATATATAAAGCTGTATTTTTTTGCAGAATATATACGGCACCTCAAAAATAAAATATGAATATCACGAGCTAAGCTAGAAATGTAATGGTGATGAAACTTTACGGTGCATGTACTTTAATTAGAGGAATAACGTAATTATTCAATGTTGGGAATGAAAAAGATTTAGCGTAAAATAGACATTTTGGTACAAGAGATTTTATTAACGACCCTATTTCTACGAGATTTTTATTTCAATAAGAATTATTTGGTTTAAAAATTCTCAAACTATTTCACACATATATGGAAAGATATTCGATATCAAAAATATCGCCATTGAGTTTAGTCGGGATGAAATTGGCAATCTATATTGGAATTTGCCTATTGCTCGAAATTTATACCCGCAACATTTTAACGAAACGCGTAAACAACGCGTCGTTACCAATGTTATTTTTTTCGATCACCGAACGAAGCAACGCGTTCTCTGAGCGATCAGATTTGCCCGGCGCACGAAACAGCGTTTCCTCGTTTCTAATTTCATCGGATGTGGCTCTCTCGCAACACACGTTGCGAGAGTAAATTTCGAACACTGGAGGGAACATTTCCGTTATTGCCAGTAACATGTGCGTAGTTATGGAAGATGTGGTAGCTAGCTGTGGGATCTGTGTCATTTCTGTGTATATAGGATACCCTATATACACGGAAATCCTAATCTTACGTTAATAGCAAACGCCTGTGACCAGCAGTATACGTAATAGATTTAACTTTAATAAAAACACGAAAAAAAACTAGCTACCATAGCTTTTGGCTGCTCCTATATTACAACCTGAAATTTAGTTATCATGTCTAAATTTGAGGTATAACTAATATTTTTTTAACTATAGTTAAACGGAGAATTCTATTGTTAAAAAATATTAGCTAAAATTTAGGTATAGAATATAATTAAATTTTGTGTGCAATATAGGGATAGCTAAAATTTAGCTTTAGCTAATTTTTTTTTCGTGGAAAAAAGCAATGCAGCAATAATTTTGCAGATTAAAACCGCAGCTTATGACAAAACGAAGCTTAAAGACAAGACATAAAATTGACCAGAAAATGAAAAGACCAAAACAATTAACTACAAAGAGAAACGCAGGAATGTTATTTGAAGATTAATGACTTTTTAGTTGCTTTGTATAGTTATTAGAGTTTGAAAATGTCTTATTATTGAAAACCTTTAACATTACAAACTATATAATACGCTCTAGATTTTCGCATTTTATTGATTTACTCGCGTAAAAACTTGCATTAATTTCTGATAGAAAATAATTTTTAATAATATTAATTGTTAATTTTTTATTTTTATCGAGGCATATGCTCGATTTTAATTTAATTTGACCAATTTGCATATGCGGAAAAATGTCATAAATAATTTATCAACCATACTCCGAGCACACATAAAATACATAAAAAATATCCTTTTACTCATTAAAAGGTAATTTATTTATCGGCGTGAAATATGTATCGCGATAAGTTGCGACGACTCTCTGTCTCCAGTCAGAGAGCAACAAAGAGTTAATGTGCGATGTCGACGGATTCTGCCGTAGTATATATATATATATATATATATGTATATGTATAAACGCGGTCGACACGCGTTAACGCGATCGATAGGGACACACGTAAACGCGTTCCGGGATCGCCGGGCGATCTGTCTCGCACGCCGAAAAATACGGCCACCGCCGATCCGGGGCGGAACCTCTCTCCACGGCGCGGGGCGCCCTGGTTGCATTATGGAAATCAGCGGGAATCGTAACGCCGGGTATGCGAGACACGTGAATTAAACACGTAATACACCGACTCGCTCGCGCGCCGCACCTGTCGCGCATGCAAATCACTTAAGCCGCCGTCGCGAGCAGAGCGTGAGCGCGAGCGCGCGGCCGGTTTCCGTGCTTTTTCGACGAGCAGGACGGAGATCGCGCGGAACGATGCGGGGATGCGTGCGTGTATGTATATATGGTTACGCCACGCGCACGCGTGTGTTGAGCAACGGGTATCGCGAGTACCATCGAGATTGCGCGCTCCGTTGGCGAGGGTCGGGATTATTTATCGAGGAATTTCGCGATCGGCATACCGCGCTCCCAACGCGACCGTTTCGCATTTTTCCGGCGAAAGGTCGTTAAATATTCTATATATATAAATGTATATGTATACCGTCAGAAAAGTGGATATCGATAATGTCACGGCGGGTACTTTGCTGATCGCAAGCACGTACGGTGTCTCTTCCCACGACGTTTTATCCATAGCCATTGCTGTTTACGCGCGCGCGCGTGTGTGTGTGTGTATCGTTGTTGCTTCCACTGTCGATTTAATTCTCGATCGCGAGACCATCGGCTTTCCGATTTTCTCTAACGACACCGATGTGAAAAAAACGACTGAGTGCAGTTTCACTCGCTAGTTGCGTTTTTACTTACTATTTTTCAATTCCTTAAAAGAGATCCATCGATGTGTGTGTGTGTGAAGTTAGCGTATCATTTCGTGGACCATCATAAATAATTGAGAGTTCTTTATACCTTTATTTTCTATCTCTATATTGCAATGAGTTTTTTTGCTAAAATATTTGTTTAGAAAATTGTCAAATTATTTCTATCATCAGATATGTTGAAAATAGAGCGACGTTTTATTTATTATATGTTCAAGTAAGATTTGCTGGTGTTTATTTAGTTTTAATTACTATTTTGTATTTTTAGAAGGCAGAGTTCTTCTGAGAATTTCTTGTGAAATTAAAATTGGTAAGGAAAATGTAGGACAAAGTGATATGTTGCGCAAAGTTAACATTTTCTTTGGTTTAATTGCCAGAATTATTGTTTTAAATTATCAAAAATTCTAAAACTATTGAAAATAAGTCAAAACTCATTTATTTATATATCCATGAAATGAGACACTTCACACTACTACTGCTACAGAATGTTCTAAAATAAACAATTTCTCACTCACCGACACGTGCAATAGCGGAGTTGTAGTACACAGTACATTGATCTGAAAGCAAAATATTCAAATTATGTATATACGTGCATGTGTGCGTGTGCAAGGATGTTTTGAAAGTTGAAAACGATCGAATATTTAAACAATGCAGTTAAAAAAAATGTTTTTATTTTGTATATACCTCACAGTTGCCCCGCTGTTGCCCGATGGCTCCCCAGGCCTGCTCGTCCTCTCCTGGTCCTTTTTGTAGTATTCACAAAACACTCGCGAAAACACGAATAATTACGATTTCGACCAACACTTTACACGGCACACCCGACACGACGCGGGAATCGCAATGGTACCTGCAACAAATAAAATACATACACGTATTAAAATAATTATATTATTTCGCATTATATATAAAATACATAATTTAAATATGTGAGCTAGAATTAACGATAGATATATTCACGAATATCAACACATTTTCGCGCGCGAAAGTGGATTAGTTGGATGTTGACCGTTGGCAAGAGATTTTGCATCGAATCTCTCGCGAAATATGCATTTCGAACAATTACGACTACACAGAACGTTGAAACTATGATATGCAATTGATAAATATTACAATACAAAGGCTAGAAATGATTATCCTTACTAATTAATCACAGTGGGACGCAGCTGCCTGCTACTCGCGATGTTTCGGTAATGGCTGAAGCTATTCGCTATTCTATAAACCTCGGCAACTTCATTCCAATAGCGCGCGCGATACTATACCTACATGATTTAATATTAATAGTTCATTAAAATTCGAAGGAGATCGTTCGACAAGATATAACTAAAGAATATATAATTATAATTTTCGAAAATCAACTAATGTGTCGTCCATAGATATCAGATTGTGTTAATTTTAACTTAATTAATATTTTTTTTCTTTTAGAGGGCAAAACTATTTTTAGAATTCACGTAGAACTATACATTTTTTAAAAATTCTGATAATTACGGATAAGAAAATGCCGTAGGACAAAGTGAAGTTGGTATATCAATTTGTCCTGCACTTTTTTTGTTTAATCGCCCGAGTTATTTAAAGTAAAGCCAGAACTTCTCAATTATTTATGATCTTCTATTAAATGATACGCTAGTAGTTTTATACACACGATTCCTCTGCGTGAGTCTGTAGTTTTGAAAATATTTTATAATTAAAAAAAAAAAAAAAAAAAAAAAAAAATATTTGCAATGAAATCTTGCATACATGACGAGATAAACAGGATCCGAAAAATGCAATTGTGCGTGAAATGCAAAGTTGCGATAATGAATGCAAATTAATAAAAAATATTTTGAAGTCAATCATCTGATTACCGTAAAAGAAAGAAAAAATATTTTATTTACTTGTTCGTGTGAATTACCATAAATATATATTTTATCTTCTCTTTTCACTCGATTAAAATCTCAATCAAGCAATTTATTTTGACACAATTGTCACGTTCTGTACACAATTAATCTATAATTAAATTCTTTGGCGTAAAGAACGAAGATAGCAAATTGCCAATTGTTATGTTGAAAATTATAAAGGAAAATAAATGTTTAAAGACGAATCGTCTTTCAACAAAATTGTTCAAGTTCCGGAGTTTCCGATTAGCGACACCTTATCAGTTGCGTTTTCGAAAGGTGCGGCGTGTGACAACTACGAACTACGAGCCCATTCGCTGTCAGCGGCGCCGTAATCATCCGAGGAGCCGTAGCGAAGGCCAGGATTAAACAAGCAACAATCTCCGGGGTATGAGTTTCATCGAGCGAATATCCACCGCGCATCGGCCGCGTTCCCAGCGGGGATCGTTGAATTCTAAGTATTCCGCTTCGTCTCTCGCGGAGCGTGTTCCGAATATACACGGGGCTCCGTGAACGCCCGAAACAAGAAGAAGGAAAAAAGGAAGGAAAAAAGAAAGCGAGGAAAGCGAAAAGAGAGGAAAGAGGGAACGAGGAGAGGAAAATAGTCGTAAAACAAAGCGCGTGGCCCCTTCTTCCCCATCTCGTCCCGCGTTGCCCAGCTCACTTTAAAGTTCTAACGACCGGTCCGGCCCGATAAAGCGTGTGTATATATATATACATACGTATGTGTGTGCCGCGCATGTGCACGCGCGTGTGTGCACGCGGATGAGAGTCCACGGGGTCATCCACCAGTAGGGAGGCCACGATGCGCTCTCTCGATGCACCGCGCTGCACCGCGCCGTTGGAATTACGTTCGACGTTGGATTAACGTACCGAAAACTCGTTTACGTGTTTTGTAATTGCCGAGCACGACGGCGGGTATAACCCCCGGAGACGGCGACGAGGTATCCGACGCAACGCGAGAGAGAAGGACTTTCAGGGAATGTCCCGGTCACCCGGGTTCGACCGATTAGAGATGGAAGCGAACGCGATCCGAATGCTATCGGAGTTTTCTTCCGTATATGTGCACTGCGCGAGTGAGAATCGCATTTTAAGTGAGACGGTGAAAGGAATCTGTGATAGAGTGTGCTCTCTGCACGAGGAATTTTTTCGACATTTTATATTCTTGCGTTTATTATATGTGTATTATTGGCAATTTTTCAGTGCCAACGTGCGGAGACAATTCATTTTGAAGCAGGTGTTTTAATATACGTTAAAGACGCACATTCTTATTGTACAATTCTCGCTGTATGTACAACTTACGACCTAAATTTTCACGACAGATTCTCGGAACAAGGTTGAATTTTTCTCTGGCGAAAGGCTTTCGGCGAATTAAACTTCGAGATAACAATGTTCAAATGAATAACAGTCACATTCTTTAGCTCTAAAATTCTAAGTAAACTTTAATAGAATTTTAAGATCTAATTGCAGAGAAGTATATAATATTAAAAACTGAAAAGTTAATAAATAATTCTCGCGCGCGACAGAAATTTCCCCGAATTTCTTAATCTGGAATTATTTTATTAAATTTCTTCTTTAAAATTGTCGACAAGATAAAAATATCAGCGCTGCTTTATTTAATTATCAGACTATAAAAAGTAAAATAGTGACTGCATTTGACAGAAAAATTTTTTTTTAATTTTTAGAGTTATATTCAAAGCATATTATTATACAGAGAGAATTTTCTCTTAGAATTTATTCTGAAAATCATGGTAATCGTGCGACAATATGGTATTGGAAGAATCTTATGAGAGTTTCTCTGATTAATATTTGCCACAATAAAAATATTAATATGTACATAGTAAATTAAAATCTATTATGTACATAGTAAAATTTACTATGTACATAGTGGATTTTACTCTGATTAATATTTACAACAAAAAAATATTAATCAGAGAAATTCTTATAAAAGATTCTTCCAGTACCATATTGTCACACGATTACCGTGATTTTCAGGATAAATAAGAGAAAATTCCCTCCGTGTACATAAAGCTGCAAAAGATGCGAATATAGGAACACGAGGCCTGGTTGAATGAGAAATTGAGGAATTGATTCCAACAGAAAGAGCCGATAAAATAGAAATTTGGAGAATATTAAATTTATATTATTTATATGACTTATATTTTTAATATTATCTCATGTGAAACAAAAAATAGTTTGCATGTGTCCAACTTTTACCTTCGTGATCAAGTTATAAATTATAATCTCTCATATAATAAAATGGTTATAATAATCTATATAAGATTAACTTTCTGACACGCAGAGGTTCATCATAAAAATCCAATAAATGCAATTTTTACATTTCTCTTTGTAACATTTTTGACTGTTAAAATAAAAAATTGAAATTTAATATCGTAGAATTGTCTACATAAATGTAAAAAATGGACGTGGAAATTTTGATCCCTATAAAACAGAAAAAATACAACAGAGGATAAAGGAAGAATGAGATATGACATTTAAATTTAAAAGTTATAATGTCTATTATTAGGTTTAATTAATTATCGATATTACTTTATTTAGCAAATTTATATCAGTGAAAATCTCTACGAAAAACTAAATTGACGTCGATGGGCGGTTGAATTGACAATGTTAACACAATCTTATCTCGATAATTCGATATTAATTAATATACGGAGATATATATTATCGGATTATCGAGATATTGGCATTACAAGATTCTGAGCATATGTATAACCACAAATTTAAGTTATTATTTCAATATAAAGGAAATTCAGGAACCTATTGTGGAATATACAAATTATCACACCGGATGTATATTTAATCTCAAAGCTTGTAGAATTAGGCAAAAAGATTTTTTCTTAAAAAAATGCCGAGAGAAATGTCATATTTTGAATTTATATAGCAATAAATTGTTGCGGTTTATCTATAAAACAAAAAATTATAGTCAATTCAGAATTATCCTGCTTAATAATTTATAATAAAAGACTATAATTAACGTTTCGAACAATAACTAATCAGCATTTGATATGTGTCATATCTCAAATATAGTGTCAAATAACAAGAATCAATCGATTGTCTTATTTCCAAAAATAATAAAAAAGTTGCACGTTAAAGTTTATATTTATAGATTAAATTTAAACGTATAAACACAAAAAGAGACGGATAAAAAAAGCGTATAAAGAAATCAAAAGATAATTGAGAAAGATAATAAATGATGAGAAACAGAACATGAGATAAAAATGTTAAAAAATTAATACATATATAGGAGAAAAAAAATATTTCAAAACGAGAGTATTTATAAGAAATACAAAAAGTCAAAGAAAAGATGGAGCTAACATACAAACTATTAAAACCAGAATAGAAAGAACACTACATGAATTACTCAGGGAGCTCTCATACAAAGCAGGAAACATCGAAAAAATTCAAGAAAAATGGATACACATATAAGGAAAGAAGAAAATCCAAGGGGATATAGTGAAGAGAGTATCATGAGCCTTGAATAAAAAAAATATATAATAAAAACTCAATGATCAAACAAAATAAGTTGAAACATTATTATCTTGATAAAGCAAAAGGTAGACACAATCATATAGTTATAAAAAATAAATTTTTTTAAATATAAAAAAATTGTTGAAAAAAATGACTGAATAGCAGCAATGAAATAGGTACGTAGCATTTACGACATATTGCGGATTCATTGTCTTGATGTAAATCAACATAAAGTAATGATGCCGTAAATTGACAACAAGAAGGCTTAATTGAACATTCCTGAAAATTTTATTTCTCATTACTGCAAAGTTCTCGATTATAACTAGCATATATAAACATATATGTACGGCATTTTCTTAGCTGAAGGATTAAGAATTAATAATAATAAAAGGTTTATATTTATATATTCGTTCTTATACGAGAGCCATGTTCACGATCTTAAATATTTACGGAGACGACAAAGTTTATGATCATGTCAAACCGTTGG